GCCCGTGTCCACGTTTACCATTATCAATTTAGCAGTGGAAAACTGCACAGGGGAGTCACACAAACCCTTACCTGAGGCAGACATGTAAGTCATTGCACTCCCTGTATCACTCCATCAGGTAACTGGCACGTAACAGAATTTCTGGTAGAGAGACAGCAAACTGGACAAAACAATCCCAGCATCTAATGACTTATTACACGTTTACCTTTAAAGAAATTACAATTCAAGGTGTTGAGGAGATGACAAGAGACGAAATGCACTTTAGAAAAATTGTATTTTAAGAAGGTATGTGAAAGGGCAGAGAGCACAACAAGAAAGGCTCTCTGTTATTTGCATACACTTGCATACATTTCATGATGGGGATTTAGTCACAAATGAGGAGGGATGAGAAAAGAAACGAACAGGGAAATGTTTTTATGAAAATACAGAACTTCCATTTTGGCAGAAGAGGAGCTACTATTATAAGGATTTAAGCATAGTGATATTAGGAATATGACAGACCAAAACTCAAGGCAGCATAGGGGAGGTTGGAGAGAAGGCTCAGCAGATGAAATAATTACAGTTTGAGCAAGGACATTGAGAATAGGATAGAAAATCAGCACAGGGGTCTGCCATGCAAGTTTTTCAAGAAGACAACAGAAAGGAAAAAAACCACAGGTCCTGAGTATTCAGTATATATAAACACACTTTTGATGCTTTTCTTACCTGTACAGTCCCTGTAAGAATTGAGTTAACTCAGGGACTAAAAGATCTAAGTCTTCTCTTACTGGTTTTCTCACATGTGATAATATTAAAATTGACTGCAATTAACATGTCATTGCAATTACACACCATTATCAGGAGCAGAAAACATCCATACAAAGGAAGGAAATACCAACATTTCAGATTTTCCATCTATATCCAGCAGGCTTATTAAGGCACTTAATTATTAAAATAACACAGAAGAATCAACATCATAAACTATGTTTCCAGCCCAAGTGTATGACGGAGCAGACAATAAAGAGTCAGTTTATGAGAGCAGAGCTGAGGATAAAACTTAGGATTTACAAACATAAACGAAATTACAAGCATAACAGAACTAGTTTCCTGGAAATTCATGCATCAAATGCAACAGTGCATTTTAATTTGTGAATCTGGAGACTTCACATCATCGTGATAAATGGATGACAGTAATTTTTAAACCTAATGTCAGTGGGTTGTAAAGATTAATACCCACATTCTTCCTTGCATAAATTAACTATCCAAAACCGATAGGCTGAGACTGATTCTCTGTTCTTACGAGGTGTAACAAATCTACGAACAGTAGTATCATCATTCATAATGTCTCATAATTGCAATGACATTTTCTATACAAGTCATTAACTCTTGCTCTCCCTTATAAGGAGTAGACCTCCACTTAAGCTATTTGCAATCAGACCACTTTTTCACTTGTAAAGGCCTGATTTCATTGGTTTTTTTCTTCTGTAGTTCTACTTCTCCTTTGAACACACATATGAATAAACAGTAAGAATAGAACACAATTAAAACAAAACAGAAAACCTGATTTCACGAGGATAGGTGAATCTGAAAAGGAAAGACTAATACACTTCGAAAAGTAAGAACAGTATTATTACCATATACATTTTATTATTATTAAATGTAATTTATAAGCATTTAAAAAAAAGGGGGGGACCCAAAAATTGACGAATCAACAAGAACAAAAAAAACCCCCCAACCTTCCACATGCTCACAATTTACTCTTTTTGATCTGCTACAGAATTCTCCTTCCCCCAGTGCTACACCAGAGAAGTACATGTATCACAGTGGGGCAGAACTGTCCATACACAAACACCCTGTTTTGGCAACCACACAAGTGGCTTGGAAAACAGCACAAGGAGATCTTTTCATAGGGAGTTCAGTTCCTTCCCACCCTCTACCCACAGCTCCCTTACTCAGCTTATTTTAAGGACAGAAACATAAAAGTCTGGATTCAAGAAACATAGGGACTAGTCCACTTGCTACTTAGCTCAGTGCAAAACTTTTGTGGTGACATTAAAGGAAGTTACACTGTACCTTGGAAACGCCCATAGGAGAAACTCAGCCAAAAGTAACCCAGAATAACTCATCTTAATAAAACCATTGTATAGAATTACTTGTCCTCCAAAGCTCAGGTGACACTGTGTGAAAAGTTCATACAAAATGTACGTTCCAAACCTGTTTAAAGTTGGGAATATGTATTTTGTGGTTTACATGATGCATCTGGTAGAAAAATCTGACATATCAATCAGTCAGAGATGCAATTTAAAATAAACTTGAAAAGTAGGCAATTCTGTTGTACAATTTAGAGTTCTGAGTCACTAGAATTACTAGGGAAGGCATGTTTACTGTATTTACAAAGAAGTGAACTATAATTTTGAATACAATTTTAGCACTCCAGGATTAATCACTTCCCTCACCAACGTGAAAGATGCAAAGTCGGTCAGGGCTGCCAGCTCAGCCATCCAACTCAAATGTGAAGAGCTGCCCAAGAGAGCTCAGTATCCATTTTGAAAGAAGTATGTTATTTTAAAACTATTTTTCTCCCATGTTGCCATGTGGCATAGAATACTATATTCTGCAGAAAGAACAGACCCATTATGAACCAGTTCTGGTATTCCTTTCATCTCAAGCGTGACACAAAACACTCAATGCACATTATCTTTCCTAATCACTTTTCTGGAAAAAGTAGATACTATCTTCTATTACACTTAACTTTGCTGTTTAGACACTTTTAACTTTTCTATTTAGACAACTCTTCTATCTATTCAGAGCAATATATGAATGCTTTGCTCCCTCAGAGCACAGTAATGGTGCTAATACCCCGAGGAGTAGACCAAGAGTGGTTTGCACTTACAATTACTCATTACTTGTTTGTATATGAAGGTAATAAAAATTAAAAAAAGAAGTCTTCCCAAAGCAGGAAGGTGATACTGCCATAGGGAAACATCTACTCAGCAGATCCCCTAAGAACAAGCCTGACACTTGAAGTTTAAACAAATTAAATTAACATGTGCCAGAAGGTTCTACCAAAGCTTACAAAAGATGTTCTGCACACAGTTTAAAGCAAATACATGAATATTTACTTTTTCTGGACCTCATCACATTTAGTCCTACACATCAGTGCTACCTGAGTTACAGGTTCTGCTTTTACTCACTGTGAAATGTTGTCAATCATTCAACTGTGTTCAACCAAAGAATGTAAAATACAGCAAAAAGCCAGGAGTCTGCTCTGCAATGAGCAGCCACCTGATGACAGATTTTTTTTTCCACAATTATTATTAGAATGCCTAATTTTATTCTTTGAGTCAAGGAAATGTTGAAAAAAAAATCTGAAATGTGCCATTTAAATGAATCATAGCTGCACAGTTTAAAAGAGACGTTTTGCTCAATGAATTTCAAAGAAGAATTTTAAAACTCGGGAGATTTCATAGTAAGTTAAAGAGATTCATGTATTAAATTCATTATCAATTGACTTGTTTCATCTCTTCATTGACAGCTCCAGCAACACCTGCAGAAGTTTCAGTTTTACCCCAACAGGAAAGATTTGTCCTATAAGTAACAGGAAGGTTCATAAGTGGAAAAAGTAATCCTCAGGTTATGTTTTTGTGTACTAAGATGCTGAGATACCTGTAAGAGAGTAACTCAGTGGATAATCAAATAGCACTATTTGCAGTAAATTCTTCTCCAGTGAAACCTAAATCACTTGCTAGGTACTTTTACCACTATAAAGCAAGCAGAACTTCCATGCCCTGAGGAAAAGTCTGCATCCCACATCAGCAGACCCAGAAAGGGCCTGAACAGGCATCTCTGCTTATGATTTCTGCACTGTAATATCTACATCCTGATCACAAGAAAAAAACCACCACTCAAGTTTTTGGGACTCCAGTCCAGCAGCTTCCAGTCACCACAGTAGAGGTGATATTTTTGAAGATACCCAAATAAACTTCAGAGCAATAAATACCCAAGCTCTGTCTCCCTTTAAGGACAGAGTCTACCCTCATGTTTAATGAGCGAAGCATAACTTGAACTCAGTTCTGACTTTATTTACAATGTTTTCCAACTATTGACATCTGCAGTCATCTTCCATATTGCTGCATAAAACAAATAATCCTAACAAATGGAACTAAGCTCAAAGGACATGCCCAGAGGGAAATGGACAAGCACAGGGCCCACTGACCATAAAGAAACACTGAAGTTAAACCACATTTAATGAAGATGAGGTAAATTTTTCCTTCCTTCCCAGTTTACACTACTTTAAGAGAAGTCAAAAAGGTAGAATTATACAGATTTACAAGTGCTTCAGAATTAAAGATTTCTAGGTTACGCACATGAAGGTGTATGTTAGCAGGAGCAACACAGAAAAACAGTGCAACCGAAATGCTTTTGTTGAATACTTTTCATCAGTGAGGGAGGAAACTTCCTTCAGAACTGGGATCTTGCAACTGTAAGAAATGAAGCAACTGTTTTCTATCTTCTGTTTAAATGCTGAAGACATTCACTGCTTCAGTAACTACAGTTTATATCAAGAGTCTCTTCACTGAAGAGATCTGCAAGTGCAGTTTGTGTGACAAATATTTGTAACATGGAAAATTCTACAAATTCTACTGTGCTTTCCACAGTAATATGAGAGTGTCCTGTTTAAGGTGTATGCACACTCATCTGTACTTTCTCTCTTAGAAGGAGATTCTCACAGCTCCAGAGAAGATTTTGAATCTGAAGAAGTAGATGAACCTCTTGTAAGGATGGACAAACGTGCCCCTGTCACACCCATTGCACTCCCTGCACCTGATCTGCCCAAGGAATTTCCACCCAGCTCTACATTGTGCAGAGCAGAAATATCCACTGTGTGGGGACATTTTAAACACAAGCAATGGCTTCACGAAACCTTACACAATCTAATCTTCTACTGGTTTCCTACTGACAAGTGATGAAAAGTTTTCAAAGCATATAAAGGAACAATCAGATTCTGAAAATTATCATACCTGATACAGCAAGAAAATCATCAATACTTGTTATATCATCCACAGCTTCAGTAAGAACATGGATGTGATTCTCCCATGTACTCCTATACATCTCCATGTTGTTTTTCACAACTTGACTTTTTGGTCTGGCAGCAAGAGCTAAAGCAGCGTTAATGACCTGTACCAAAAATAAAAACAAAACCCAACTAAATAATTTTGTCTTCAGAAATCAAATGTTGTGTTTTACTTAGCATTGCAGAGCAGGATTCCTGTTCTCCATGCAACAGCGTTGCTCAGCTTTTGTTTCCATTCTCAAGCAGAAATATCAGTCAGATGTTGCTTAGGTCAACTTTCATTATAGCTTCAGAAAGCTCAAAGGAACAGGACAGCAAAAATCCCAACAATTTATTTTTGGTTGGAGAATTCATATTGTTCCAAGTTTGTAGAATATTAATACAAGCAGGTTTTTACTTTCTCACACTTCAGGCACACACTCAGCAGTACAGCAAACATCACCACTTCATTTTGAGTTAAAATCTTTTACATCAAGAGCCTATTATGGAGTACCTTCACTGAAAGGTATTATCAGCTTCTGTCATGGAAAAGTGGGAGGTTTTGCCAGGCCAACAGGTATCTTTAGGATTAGAGGCATGGGACATAACACGTACTACATCTGTATAAAAGCAGTAGACTTTGATTGCTAAATCAGTCTGGTTTAAAAAGAGGAACTATATTCATATGAAGAGGGTAGAGTTCATCTCTCCCAAGAGAGACTAACTGAAGATGCAAATACTGGATTACTTCTACAGATACTTCTTCAGTCAGTTAATTACCTACAGAGGTTTTTTCCTAGTATTGTTTTTTTGTTGATGTTGTATCTATCAACATTTTTTAATTAAACTAACACATATCCCAGGTAGAAGCTGAACATTAACCTTTTTTCCCCTTCCCAATATTGCTTATTTATCAAGGGGAGAATGATTTTAAGACTACAAAACACAACGTAAAGCAAAATACGGGAAGAATAAAACCAACATGCCCCACCAATCCTCAGTGCTGACAGTACACATTCATGAAACATTCCTGCATATTGTGCCACTATAATCAAGTCTTGGCACCAACATTTAAGAACTAGAAAAATCCTCTTCTAAGGCCATCTGATGTGTCCTTACAATAACAACAATCCTCTTGACCCTGCTCTGGATAATAAGCTAAATCTGTAATCAGTTTTGTTTGGTTGGTATTTTTACAAATCACATGAACTTACAGAGCTAGTGAAATTTAAACAAATGACAAAATTACTAATATTTGTGCCTCTCATAATGAAGGAACATACACAGCTAGGTTTTCACAAGATCACTGCTGGGATTGAGTCTTTTTTGCTAATGATTTTGATGAGGAAGAATAGACCATGTCCTTATTATTTTACCAGGCATGGAGAAAGCAGAGAGAATGTAACTACAATAAAGAAAAGGATAAGATGCCTTCACCAATTCCACAGGAGATCAAAAAACCAACCAACCAACCAACCAAACAAACCAGAATTCTGTCCCAGAAGTACAAACATAAAAGCTTAAAAATATTTTATTCTCCAAAAAAGGAAAAAAATCCAATAGGCAAAACAAATTTGAAATTGGAAAAAAAGTTGACAGGTTGTTTTAAAAATACCTGATAATAAGATCATAGGGAATGCTCTTTAAAATAAGAAAACAATTTAAAAAAATCAAAAGCACCTCAAAATCCATGACTGCCAGCGAAAATTTTGGCAGTTTGACTATGAAACAACCTTTTTACCAAGTACAGCTCACCAAGCCATACAGCACACACCTAATAAAGTCTAAAGGCTCATTTAAAACAAGTCTGATTTCAGGCAGAATCCTTTAAACAAAACCACTGACTTTTAAACCAGCAGATGTTAGAAGTGGGTGATGATACTGCTTCAGCCAGGCCCATTAAGGGCTTAGACCTGACTACTCTTTTTCCTTTTTTAATTTGGTTTGTGCTAAACACAGGGTTTGCCCCATCATTTTCAGTACATTTCACTATAGACTTTCAGTGCATTCCATAAAACCTTATTTTATCCATACTTCAGATCTACAAAATCTTCAGCAAAAGCATTTATTGGCTGTATCATCTGGCACAAGATCTGTCTTGATCATTTATGGTTCTGCCACCTGAAAAACAGCAACAGCACAGCAATGCTGACACAGATGACATGAGGGATCACTGACATCTTATCAGAATGCTGAGATTAAAAACAAGTCATCAGGGACTTTGAAGCCCAAAAGACACCAACAAAGGTGCCCACATCCTTGGTATAAGCAAACTACTGTCATAAACCTTCTGCCTGTGTTCCCACATGCACTATTCAGTTGCAGCACCGCTTTGGAAATAGGGTCTCTTCCTGCAGACATTTATGCTTGGATAGCTACTTGCTTCTGGCTTATCAAATCAGTCTACAGACCACACAAGCTGCTGAAGGCTTTAATTTCCATTTACATGCATTGCTTCCACTGAAGGCTCTGCAAGGACCGATTTGTTTTTGTTTTCATGAGAGTTAGAGCAGGAAATTAAAGAGATCATAGGGGTCCCTTTCTATAAAGATAAATGTTCAGCATTTTCCTGTTAGAGCATTACCTTTGTCACTAAACACACCCTTTGAATAAAAACTTCAAGGTAGGCAATAACATGCAGTGCTAAAATCAGTCTTGCATGACTTGCCATTTCACCACTAACACAAACTACTTCCTTTGTTTATTAAAACAAATGCTGGAAATTCAAAAGATTGTAACTAAGCAGTTTACAAGCAGTTTTTCAATTTTGTTACCAGGAGCTGTGGTGATGGAGTCCACTGCTGAAGATTTCTACTGGGTTGAAGGTGCTTCACCAACAGGATAAAACGCTTTTGTTTCTAATCTCTGAGTAACTGCAGACTGTGGCTATTGCAACTCACTTGGTAAAACTAATAAAAAAATGTACAAATGAACAAACTGAAGTAGGAAAGGGCCTGCACTAACACACTTTCCCTTTCCTTTATCCCATTTAAAACAAACTGGAAGTTCACTTCCTAAAAATTGTTCTCCCAGGTGTAGACTAGAGGCACAATGGCTTCTCATTAATGCCCAGTTTTAGCTTCCAGGGATGGCAAACGAGGAAGAAAACATGGTGACTCCAGACTTGCCCACAGATCACATTTTTAAAACAATTGTTCATTTAGTACTTCAGGAGTACCACTGCTGGGAACAGCACATACCACATCCTTCAAGTCCCCACGGAAACTTGCCCAGGACAAAAGCAACCCAAAAAGTTTCAGCCCAGTGCCCAAATCTCTTGGGTCAAGAGATGTGATGTTGTTTCTATATGAAGTGTAGAATACAAACACAGAAAATTCAATGTAGTAATAGTGCACTTCCATAGATTTTTTAAAATAACATTAGTGGTTTAACCATTTTAGGAATCAGTAATTTTAGAAATTAGCAGAAAACTGTTCCATTTGTCCCTGAGAAAAGACTCATTATTTTTTAGGGTACAAGGCACACTGATAAGCATTTACACTTCAGTAATTTATTCTACTCTATCTTAGCTTTGCTTTCATCAACCAGAACACAGCATACCATCAGGGGGAAAAAAACCAAAAAAACCTAAATTTTGATAAACACAAAGAACAATTTATAAAGCAAGCAACTCTCTTAATGTTGGGTGCTTGTCACTACTCCAAAATTATATCCAGAAAACATGCAGTAGAGCAACAACAGGACAATGTCTATGTGTACAAATATATGGAAAAGGATTAGAAAGCAGAAGAAAAGCAGCAAATCAGGGCATTTTGTTATGATGTAAAACACACCCAAAAACCCAATCCAATGTCAAACCCTGTACATGTCAGGGATTTTGCAACAAACATTTCAAGCTTCCGTCAAGTGGAGATCCAGCCCAGATTTTGTTTTTTAAGGTGTGAACTGCATAAATCTGCAGTAGGCAGGAAAAAATACTACTCATTTAATATAGAAGGAGAGCTGCTCTGCCTCTGTTACTCTGAACATTTGAGCATTCCACAGCTGCACAGAAGAAATCACCTCCAGTTTCTCTATTTCAGTATCAATACCAAAGATAAAATAACTTTCCACATGCAGTGCAATATATTAAAGCCCATTTCTGTTTGGCTCTACAGCAGCTCCCCCAATCCTCTCCTAAAAGTAAGACATTTGCAGGAGTTGAGAACTTCACTGTTTTCATTCCTATCACACTTAATCCAATTTCACAGGATCAATTTTCTAAGCCAGGGGCTCAAAATTTCACCTCAATAATTCTTAGGTCACATTGGTCCTGTTTTCATTCACCACACTAACTAGTTTAGGTTTTAAAATGCATACAACAAGACTGGAATACTAAACGGGTAATTTCTAACTTTTCTGTTTAAGCCTCTAATAAGATACATGAAAGTCAAACACTATTTCTGGTTGAATACAATAAAGTCTTTTTCTTACTCTATTTTCTTCGTTTTGGTAGATTTATCAGGTTGGCCCTGCCAAAAGTCACAATGAGACTGTGTAAAAAGTTGTTTCAGTATCAGAACCAACATCTTTTATGTTGCCAAATCAACTTTTATCTTGTCAAATGCAATAAAGAGGTAAACTACCTGGGAAGATCACCAAAACTGTTAAAGAATGTAGTCAACTTTATTAAATGGGTGAATTTAGAAATCAAGATGACTCCAGATATCTCTGGAAATGAAGTCCCAAAACCTTCAGTAAATGCAAAAGCTACAGCACAGGCAGGCAGCACCCTCATCTAACTACAGAGACTGCACTGGCTCACAGTCTGATGGGCTGAGGCTGCACGAGAGCCCCAAACCATCAGTCTAACCACCTGAATAACACAAACCAGAGAATTCACCTAAGGCCTCCCTCAGCAAATTTACAGTTAGAAGTTTAATCAGTTATATTATACACAAAGGCAGTTAATCCTGAATTAAGTATTTCAGGTGACACTGTTCCTCATGGTTCCCAAGGTAAATGGCTCTGATGTTTAATATCCTATGAAGAGAAGACTTCACTCCACTTTGAATAAACTTGGCTTCCATAAGTGTGACAACACCTACATTCCATAAAACAATTCACATTGACAGTAATGAAACCAAAATACTATCATATCTAAGTTGCAGAGCACACTAGAGAC